CATATTATAACATCAGCTGAGATAAATAATAAAATGAAATATTAAAATCACGATGTATCTCGCTGCATTGCGCGAGTACGCTTCTAGTATATATATAGCGTTCAAATAAAAACCACCTAATTTGTACAAACCGTGAAAACCACATTCAATCAATCATAATTTTTCATTTTGTTCATTTTTTTTTGTAATTATGAAAGGTTGATTAACCATTTTTATTATGGAGGGTGTTAATCATGGATATTATTATCTTCATTATTTTAATTTTAGAGAAATACATGAAACAATTTCATTAAAATTTCATTAAATATTATATGAAACAATTTCATAACCATATATGAAACAAAGTCATCAAAAAAAGTATTATATGAAACAATTTCACAAGATTAAACAATTTCATGAAAAGAAAAAGTAATAATGTGCATTGGTAACTTGTACTATATGTTATTTTAATTATATATTAAAAGATTTTAAGATTGAATGCATAAAGTAGTAGTACTTACTGCATTATGAGTTGTTTTTAAGACTTTGTGCACTTTATGCATTAAAAATTGTTTTTAAAATTTTTGATAAATCTAGTTTATAAGATAGTATAGATAATTAATGTTAGAATTGTTAAAATAGAGTAATTATCAGAGTTAATATAATTTTTTTAGAATTTTTGATTTTTAATGCTTTATTTTTTTTAAAAAGTACAAGTTAAATTGATAAGGGTCCCAAATTGGTATACAGGTCATAGTTTAGGGACCAGTTATGTAACTCTCTGTTTATACTTCCGGTAAGAACTGTAACATTATCCGGTATTTTCCTTCTTCGTTGTCCCTCTCTAAAACCCTGGCGAGAAGATCTTGCAGGTCCCAATTGAACCTTCCCAAAATCCCTTCTTGTTCATCTTATTCACGCAACCATCTGTGCAGTGCTTAATTGTAATACTTTCGCATAATTGCATCTTAATTATCAACTCGCATTTGGGTCTGATTTGTTTCAGTTTCTTGGAGTTCTAAAATGTTTGTTGTTAATTTTTGTCGCAGATAGAATCAAGCAGTATGATTTCTGGATGTGGCTGTGTGCCTAACAAATCCCCCTTTTTGTTTCAGGTCAGGTTAAACAGTTGTATAGCTGTATTTAGTTATTTGTAGAGAGGGAGGGATTACAATTTCGATGTTTTGAATTCGGTATTTGTAGTTTTAAGCGATGTATTAGCAAATCTACTGAAAAATTACTTAAATTTCTAGAAAATAACACTACGAATCGTTTGTAAAACGACGAGAACTCACCCGATTGTTTGCAATTATGGAATGGTTCAGTCACTTCATTTCTTTTCATTAAGTCCATATAAATGCATCTTAATAATTCAGTTTATGTGATTTATCAGTAAGGTTATCGGTGTGTTGACCATTTTGAGCTCTTAATCACTTGGTATTTATTCATTCAGTTTTAAGAAACACCACCTTATTCAGTTGCCAAGGTAAATGTGTCTTCTTTCATATGCATATATTTTTCTGGCAAGTATATTGGTTGTTTAGAAGCTAAGTGACAAAGTACAAGGGTTTGAAATGCTAATCAAGTAAGCATTCATATATATATATATATATATATATATACATACATACATACATACATATATATATATATACATATACATAGATATAGAGGAGCGATCAAATGCAAACCATCCAATTTATACAAACCGTGCAAACCACCCCATCCGTCGATTTCATTGTTTAATCTTATGAAATTTTTTCATAAAATTGTTTAATCTTGTGAAATTGTTTCATATAATACTTTTTTTTGATGAAGTTGTTTCATATAATACTTAATGAAATTTTAATGAAACTGTTTCATGTATTTCTCTAAAATTAAAATAATGAAGATGATAATATCCATGATTAATATCCTCCACAATAAAAATGATTAATCAACCTCTCATTATTACAAAAAAATGAACAAAATGAAAAATTATGATTGATTGAATGAGGTTTGTACGATTTGTACAAATAACGTGGTTTGCAAAGTAAACCTCCTCTAGATATATATGCTCATCCAATAAAAGGAGTTTGCATTGATTTTGTTTCACTAATATTTTTAAAGTGCTACTCATTCTTATATATGGAAACATGTTCATCCAAGAAATTAAATTTGCGTGCGTTTTGATTTATTGTGTTACTACATTATCCTTTTGTCATGCGATAAGCGTCACATGAAACTGACAACTATAGGATGGATTTGGTATCTTTAGTCAATGATACACACAAAGAGAACAAATCCCTCGTATGACAAGTTAAGAACCTTGTATGATTTATTTCCAGTCTGTTACTTTTGCAATCTTATGGTAATCTGAAAATGATGTTAACTCATATTGCTTCCATGCCTCTTTCTCATGGTATTATATGATGTTAACTGGTGTTTGTACTATTTTCTGGGAATTCTATAGACGTCTCTTGCAGGTTCATTCCCAACATCAGTATGGCAAGCGAAAACCAGGTTGAATACCATTAAAAGGACTCCTTTATTTCCTTGTGTAAAGTGTGAAAAGACGGATAAGGATGATCCTTCTTCTGAGAAACCATCTGAGGAGTCTTTTCAGAAAATATTACCTGAGCAGACCCCATATTATACTTACGTGGATTCACTAACTGGGAGACCTCACCCAGCTTCTGGTGGTCGTACAAATATTATAGGGCAGGATTATGCGCCAGAGGGCATGGTTGGTCAAGTGAGGGCTGCTGGTATCCCTGCACCAACTGGTACATCGTCTGGGGCACCATCTTCTGGGCAAAATCCTGGAAACAGAAGGAAAATGCACAGGGCCTCGGTTTCTGCTTCGGAGTCTGCTGAAGTAAATACACCTATAAATCAAGAATCGGAGGATGAAACTTTGTATGAGATATTAGAAGATTCAAAAAATGACCTTTCTGATTTTGTGGTATATGAGACAGAACCTGCAAAAGAGGAGTTAACCAAGTATGAACTTGACAAGAAGCTTGGACACCCTCATCACTTTATTGATCCACAAGCAAGGAAGCCAATAGAGAAGCCCCTTACAAGTGAAGAGTTATGGTGGAACTGGAGGAAACCAGACAAGGAACAATGGTCCAGGTGGCAGAGGAGGCGTCCTGATGTTGAAACGGTTAGTGAAGTTGACACGGCTGATTACTGGCTTGTAAATAACTATATATGCAATCGTTTGGATCTTAAATATACTTCTAACAGTGTTTCTCCATATGGTTTCACTTTCTAGATGCCCAAATACTTTATCAGTGTTCTTCTAATTTAGTTGTAATGATTATCCATCCTGTTTATAATTTGAAATACTTGAGCAGATGGACTGAGTTTGATATATTTCTGTTTGCATCTAGGATGAAGTCTTGTATACCTATAGTAAATTGAGATTTTGCATGTTGAAACTTTTGCTTTGCTCATTTTTTGAATATTGCAGTTTACTTGTGCATAAGCTTCCATGTATTTTCGCTCTTAGTTCTTGAATTGAATAGCGAGGCCTAAAAATATGTTGTTCAACTCAGAATTTTATCGGGAAAAGTGATGAGTTTTTGCATGTTCAATTATTTTAGAGATGCTTTGAGTTGGCTAAGTTTTGTCAGCCTTTAGATTACCAACCTTCTATTCCAATCGTCAACATTTTTCCTTTTGCAATTGCCATAGTGTTTCTTTTTGTGTGTGTGTTTTTATGGGGGTGTTATGGAATTTCTATTGATATGGCTTTTGACCTTTTATTTGACCAACAGGTGTTTCTGAAGGCCATGGCAGAGACTGGCCAAATCAAGCTCTATGGTGACCATCCAACCATGACAGAAACTGCTCTCTACAGAGCTAGGAGGCATTTATATAAAGAAGAAAGGTATAACTGAATTATTCTTGAATGGATTCTTTGCTACACTTTACAACATTATACAGGCCTTGATATGAAGTGAAGACAGAGGCGTAATTGCTTGAATCAAACTTTCAAAGATTTTCCAAGAATTCAGAGAAAGAGTATACAAGTGCTTCCTGAACAAGCCAGTAATGTAGGCCTAATTGCTTGAAGTCTCTGAGAGTATTTGTAATGAAATTTTAATATATGATGGTGATATGATCTCTTTTAGTAGTTTAAGAACATGAAAATGCAACCTAGGAAAAAGAAAAAGGAAAGGGGGGGGGGGGTTGAGTAGGTTACAACAGAGGTAGTAAAAGTAAACACTTTTTTAACCCAAAGTTGATCAAGAAAACAATGTGTGTAATAAACTGTGATGTAATGCAAAAGAGCAATAATATCTTGTGTGCCTCCTAATATACCGCAATAAACTTGGCTGTGAAGCTGGCTTATAACATGTCAGTAGTTAGCTAATATGCGTCGCTAGTGTAGGTTGTTGATGATCAAAGTAGGAAAAATGTTACCTTATTTTTCAATGATCAAAATACTATAACAAACTGGTCTAGACGATTATGCTACAAAGTGATGTGTGTCTTATATAGGCTGGAGGCAGAACGTGAAAGACTGGAAAGAGATGGCCCGATAGCATACTATTCGGAATGGGTTGAAGCATGGAAGAGAGACACATCACGTGAAGCTGTTCAGAAACATTTTGAGGAGACTGGTGAAGATGAGGTCACCCAACTCATAGAAATGTTCACATATCAAACTGATCGTGAATATCGCATAATGATGGGTACCGATAATCGTATTTCTAGGGATCCCTTGGCTATGCGAATGCGGGAGGATCAGATAAAGCAAAGTATTCCCTTGAAACCAAATAAGTTTCTCAATTATTTACTTGCATGAGGGTCACTAAGGTCTTGTCTCTTGAGTCTTGCTTATTGCTACTGATTGGTAATTGATTTCTCATAGTTCTTCATAATGTATATATGCAGAAACTAAGACAATGGCTGCTTAAAATAAAATACTCCCTCTGTCCCCTAAAAAGAAATGAAACACTTTCTATTTTGGCTTGTCCTAAAAAATGCAACATTTCCTAGCCATAACAATAATACATGACCACCGTCACAAAAAAAGATTAAAATAAAGTATAATACATAACATTAAATCCCTAGCCATGCTATACATCACCCCTTTTCTCCTCTCCTCCTACTCATCCTCCAATTGGTTGAATGTAATAAAGAAATAAATAAAAAGAAAAAAAGAGAAGAAAAAGAACTTTCTTTTGTAATTGCATGTGTTATCTATCTTCATCACCTAATATGGCATTGTCAGTAGAGGAATTTCCATAGGTGAATCTAATCCATTTTTTTGGTCCCTAAATGTAAGTTGTTTGACACTTCAGAGTTTTCTGTGATAAAGGAACTACATACGCCAAATAAATGGATTCATTGTTGATTCACCGGCCTCATTGTGTTTGTGATTCTATTTTTCAATTTTTTGGAAGGGTGTCCATGGACTAATCCCGGCCAATTGTGATTGCAAGAAATCAGCCCTGATAAACTCAGTGGCCACAATTGTTGTGTACGGCTGGAATCGAACCCTAGGCAGATGGGATATTCCACCACATCCCCCAGGACCTCAACGACTATGCTGCAACCCTTGTGGTTGATTCTGTTGACTATTGATGGACTCATTAGATAAATATCAACATGCTAACTGTGGTTTTTAGTCAACTAGTTCAAACACACATTGTATTGTTGTAGTATGGGGTGGAGATCCGGTTTACCCAACAGTGAACTACATTCAAGATCCAGATCAAGTGATTGATTTCCGTGGTCCTGATTTTCACGAGCCTACACCCAATGTTCTATCTTATTTGCAAGAGGTTAGTAGATTTCAATTTCATAATTGTCATTTTGGAATGTCAGTTGCTTTCATATTTTATCATGCAATATTTCGTTACCAGCTACAGCCAGCCACACTGCTAAGCCATGACTCCAAGCCACTCAACATTTTATGCCTGGAACACTAGCAATAACTGAATAACTCTTTTTTCCCTGTATCCTTTAATCCTTTATGGCACCCAATGGAAAATTCTTTATCATCTCATAAATCAACTCTTTAAATATGTTTAGTATTTGTAAAATTTCTTCTTTAGTTGATAAATATGTCCACTGAATATGGGATATGTATTGCTTCACTCCGTTGTATTCCATAGATCAACACTACATCTTGTTAAGATTGTCAAAATGCTGCTCCAATAGTTGTCCAGTCTTAAATTTTGCCGAGTCATTGAAGTTCCCTCTCTCTCTCTCTCTCATCTGTGAGTGCTAATGCTTAGGCATGCATAAAAAATGCATGCATGGAGATTACATGTCACTATTTTTGTATTTAAAGTTATGAACAATTAGTTAAGTATTAGTTTGATGCATTGGTAACAAAATTGTTGATTCTCTTGTGTCGTTTGATCAGCATGGCAATATAACATCAAAGGAGGAAATTGATAAAATTTTGGCGGCAGAGAAGGTTGAAAAAGTAAAGGTAATAAAATTGCATTATGCACTTTTATGTCGAGCATTTGTGTTTTTTCTCCAACTTCCAAGTAAGAAGTGTATAGCGTTGTATGTCATATATGCATCCACTTCTAAAAAAGATAGACGTAAATTGCATTGTTTCTCTCATTCTATCTTTAGTTGCTTTGTTCTTGTGGTAAACCTTGGAGGGTAATTTCTTTTAATGTGATGTTCTAAAAGGAAAATGTAAATATGCGAGTCTATTAAGATCAACAATCAAACAGACACAGATAGCTGTAGGAAACGGAAAATTGAACAAATGGTATTCATGTGGTTCAACAATTTGCATACTTCTTTGGTTGTAGCGAAGATTTTTGTTAGGGAAATTGGCAGAAATAGCCAATCAGCAATTAAGGTTTCACTTTTTAGCCATTTTCTTACCCAAATTCACTTTTCGCCAATCCTTATACATAAACCTTACGCATATGCGTAAGGATTGGTTTTCGGCATATGCATAAGCCTTCTGCTTAAGGATTGGCTAAAAAGTGAATTTGGGTAAAAAAAATGGCTAAAATATGAAACCACCTATCAGCTTTGGCTATTTATGTAAATATCCCTCTGTTTTACATCTTGTGAATCAGTAGATATACATCAAAACAAAAATCATGCTCTATTTTGATGAAGAAAACCACAGAAAATTGATAAGAGTGCCTGACCGTCATTCTAGCAGCCTAATATCATAATCATTTTGTCGTAGTCTGGTTTACATCCAAATCTGGCTCGATGATTCCCACATTTTTGTAGTAGTTAATAATGGGGAAAGAGGTAAAGTTTAGATCGTAACTTTGTCAAATAAAGGAAAATTTGCATTTATTTTGGGACATCCTGAAAGATCATTTTTTTTTCATTTGTTTTAGGATAGGGATCATTATCCAATCCATCAGTGATTCATTTCACCGTTGCTAACTTCTGAAACTGGATATTTTTTCGACAGGTACAAACGCCATTTTCTGACGATGAGGCTATGGCTAAAGCTGTTGACATAGGTGAAAAAGAGGTAAAGTAACTGTGCGTGGGTGTTTGGATTTCAGTTATTCTGGTTTTCTTTTTTCCTTCTTTCTAGTCACTTCAAGTTCTTGTTTCCCCTAGAGCAAGTGGAATATTCTTCGGGAATGTGGCTGTGGATTGCTCTGAATCTTGTAGGTCACTGATGTTGGTTGCATGCATTTACTTGTAATAGGATAATGACAATGATGGTATCCTCGAAGACGAAAATATCACACGCAATTGGAGTGTTTTGAAAAGTACTCCTGAGCTTCGCAAATCAAAGGTAGTTTTTGCAATTTCTTATCTCATATTTGGCGGGTTATTTAGGATAATAACCTCTTGCCATATTTTTTTTAAATGCACGATTTTCTGACAGATTTAAAGACGCCTCTGCCTAACAGAAGAATGCCTCAAAATTTGTCAAAAAAAGTCGTGCATTAAAAAAATATCAGAAGTTGGTTGATCGCGAAACAATTCTGACAAGAAAACATACTTGAAGCAAACATGAGACATTTAGAAAATCGATTTCATTAACAGTTTCGAGATCATTCTAGAATCGTTATCTGTTTCCAACTTTTACTTGCAGCCGAAACCTGCAAAAGAAGGTAAAGAAGGTAAAGGTAAGATGTCTTTGGAGGAAGCTATAGCTGATTCTGAAAACTTGACGGACTTCCTGTTGGACTTCGATCAAGATAAGGATATTGGAAGCTAATTTCACAAGGTGAATTATCGAATTTACTTTAGTTTTGGAGTTTGGGTCGTAGTTGTCTTGACAAATTCATACCCCAAATATCTGAATATCAAAATAGAGGGAGGTTCAGGGGAAAAACCCCCAAAAAATGAAAAACTGAGGAACACCTGGTAACCGTTCATCGGACAGTATGCACATGTGCATAAAAGTAATTGAAGTTGTTTCTTGGTTTTTATGCACGTGTGCATACTAGACAAATTGCTTACAAATTACTTGTATGCACATGTGCATATTGTCCAGATGAGCTGTAACCAAGGTGTTACTCAGTTTTTCATTTTTTTTGCGGTTTTCCCTTAGACCCGACCCTATCCAAATATTTAAAAATTACATAAGAATGTAAATTTGCACTGTTTGTACAAAATCCAATTTAGAAAGTAAAGCAACAAGTTTGGGTTAATATATTTAAACTTTTAATTAAAAAAACCAAACCAAATGTGTTGGCCTAGGGAGGGATAATATGTACGTAGACATGACCTCTACCCAAAAAGAGTAGAGCGACTGTTTTGTGAAGACCCCCGGTTTATGATGACAAAATTATACAATTAATTAAACATACATAAGAGTATAAGTAACCCCATATCTAATTTATTAAATATGACTCGCATGTCAAAGATCTTATTCCCTCCATCCCAAAATAAATGTCTACAATGAGAAAAGGCACAAGTTTAGAAATACACAACTATTACACTTTTTAATTAACTAAAATGACAATTTTACCCTTCAGAGGGAATAATGAATTCCTCCGTCTCCTAATTAAGGATAGAATTGGAAATTACACTTTTATTTTTGAAAGTGGACCCTTTTTTCGAGACAAACTAAAATAGTGGACACTTATTTTGGTACGGAGGGAGTAATATAATTTCTGAAACCGGATATTTGGTTGATTATATGTGGATGGTCAATACGGGTGCTGACCGGATTTTGGATTATCTCGGCATTGAACGGATATGATTGAAAGATTTACCATCCTTTCATATGTCTTGTTTAAGATTTTCAATTATTCAACTAGTCACTATGCTTGCACTCAATGCTGATAGCATTAAACGTCAAGATTTTGATCTTTCAACGTTGATTGTAAATCAGATAAATTTCATGGTCGGCTCAGAATGCGAAGATGTGGTGTCGATAGACCAAAGAAGTTGGTTTTATATACATTTTACCCACAGAAGACCTTCAAGTTTGTAGTTGGAGGATGAGTTGTTCATATTTTGGTACCTGATAAGTTGCTGCAATCTCTGTATCTGTTTTCTGTAGGAGCAAATACCATAAACGTAAAAAAATGTGGAGCAGTAACTAGAGTTACCATTGCTGGGAAAAATGATGTGCTCTTCAGACATTTATATATGCAGGCTTGCACCCTTCTATCTCTTTCCCAATTTGTTCTTTCATTGATTATTAGATAACCATCAAGGGGCGGGGGCCACTTACCCGAATAGAAGATAGGTCCTGGGTTCGATCCCTTCATGTAGCTCAGTTGGCAAAGGGGTGAGACAACTTTGCCCAAATACAAGACAAGCACGGGGTTTGATCCCCT